TAAGTAATATACTAGTCTACATCTTTTCACATATAAAAATGTCAGAGATACCATCTCAGGTTTATCAAACCAAAAGATTTATGCTACCAGGAAGCCAAAAGGAATATAGATAATATAACTATCAAAAAGTGGCAAAGGGAGGAGATACATTGGAGAGAGTGAATATAAGTTAAATGATTACCTCTCAGATTTCTAAAACAGAAAAACCAAGAAACAGTGCTTTATAAGCATATAATTTATAGTCGGCAAAATTAAAAAAAAAAAAAGACAGTTGTAACAGGTTCCTCCAGGAAGTGGGCCTAGGACTGGGGAGCAGGGTGGACAGAATTTTCTACAGTAAACTAGGCATGGTGGCACAAACCTGTAACCCTAGTACTCTAGGAGTCTGAGACCAGAGGATCATGAATTCAAGTCCAGCTTGGACAATTTAGCAACGAAACCCTGTCTCAAAATAAAAATAGAAAGAGCTGGAGATGTAGCTTGGTGCAAAGGCCCTGGATTCAATCCTCAGGATTGCAAAAAAAGAAAATTTATAATAAAGTCTTTATTAAAAAAAAATTTTGTATCTATTTTAAACAGGGTGAGCATAGAAAGCAAAGCTTATTCATGCTTTAAGTCCCAATGCTGCCTGCTCAGCGCTCCTTCCCTGGTTAAAGCAGACTCTCCTTCCTCTGTGCTTCTCAAGAACAAGTACCTCTTATTTATCTGACCTCTCTCATTTCATCCATTTGTGAGTTTTTTTTCTGTTTCTCTTAATCCTTTAAAGACAGAATTTATCTTTCTTTTCCCATCAGGCCTTTAATAACTAACTATTAAATGAATAAAAACTTTATTTTTTAGAGGTTGGCTCTGGGGAGCTATCAGATCAGGGTTTGGTTCCCAGGTTGCAATTGTGAGCTTTCCCATTACTAGCACAAAATACCGGACACCTGCAACTCAAAGAAGAGAGGTTTAGTTGGGCTCACAGTTCACATGATTCATGGTCCAGCTGGCTCCAAGACAGGAACATTAGGGCGGAAGGGCAAGGCTAAGCTACTTAGTTCATGGCAGCCAGGCAGCAGAGCGAGAAAACAGTGCCAGAGAGGAAGAGGCCGAGGACCAGATGTACAACCCAATGTCAGGTCTGTATGCCCCACCCAGACACAGGTGGCTCTCAAGCCAACTGAGGTGACAACCCAACTTAACTGTCACACAGGCCTTCCACGTACCAGGAACAAGACCACATGTGATTTCAGTGGCACTGACTAACCTTTCCGACCTTCAGCTTCAGCTTCTTCATCTCTTATTCTGAAGAGCTTCTGTATGAAAACAACAGACTGTAAGATCCCTGCAACAACACCAAATGCACACTGAAAACACTCAACTCTTGGCTGCCACAGTAAACACATTAATGCCAAGCTAAGCAGGTTTACTGAAAGCAGTGCCCTGTCTCTAAGAAAGAAGTTACCTTGTGTTACCCTGTGACCAGGCTGGGATTGATAAGCAGTTACCAACACATATCAGATTCCCTACTGGCTGATTCTATGATCAATGCAAGAAATGCTCAAGTGAATGTATAACTGCTTATACCAGATAACAAAGGAAGGTATCAAAGATAGGGTTTTTCTGTATTTATATTTATTTTACCTTAAAAAAATTTTAATCAAAGTGAATGCCTATAATCCCAGCACTCCAGGACACTGAGGAAGGAGGATCACAAGTTAAGCTCAGTCGGAGTAACTTATTTAGTTTAGTAACTATTTAGTGAGACCCTGTCTCAAAATTTTTTTCAATAAATAAATAAAAAGGGATAGCAATGTAGTTTAGAATGAAGGACCTAGGTCTAACCCCCAGTGCTGAAAACAACAACAACAACAACAACAAAAACCAAAAACAAATAAACGGTAAAACTTTCGCCTCCAGTCAACCAGTGTTCATGACAAAAAGCCCGACCAAGGATAAAAAAAACAGGAAATACAGATAAAATCTCTTAAAAATCTGTCCGAAGGAATCAATGAATTGCTTAAGCCAAATAAACTTAAGTATCAAGATTGTGATGAAATTAAGAAATCAAAAATAGCTTTAGCAAAAGAAAAAGTATAAGGCATATATCTAGTCTAAAGAGTAAGAGAAAAAAGAGCTATGAGACACAAAAAGAAAGAGTAGGAAACATATGTAACACAATGAAAAGTTTTTAATATCCCGATTATTGAACTCTTGGAAAGAGGAGAGACAGAGAAAAAAACAGGCCAGACAATACCTGAAAGATATAATGTCAGAAAAACAAACAAACAAAAACAAAAAAACACCAAAAAAAGAAATTGCCAAAATTCATCAAGATTTAAGAAGCTCTGTAATGCCAAGCAAGGAAATAACAAAAAGAATCCTACATTAAGGATATCCATAGTTAAATTACTGAAATCTAAAATAAAGAGAAACATTTTAAAAACAGCTAGAAAGGAAGGAGTGGGTTACCTTCAAAAGAGAAACAAACAGCCAAGATAGCTGACTTTTTAACAGAAATGGTGTAATGCAGAAAACAATGACATTACATCTTTTAAGTCTTTACAGAAAAATTCCAAAATGCAGTTAATAAAATTTTTAAATACAAAAAAGCTATAAAAAATTTTAAAAATATAGAAAAAATAGGAAATGTAAAAGACAGGTTAAGAGACAAGAAGTGTAGCAAGATATGGTCTAACATTTAATCAGAGTTTTATATGGAACACACAATAACTGGAAGAGAAAATGTTTTAATAACTTTCCAAAATTTATTAAAATCAGCACTGTACAGATTCAATAAGTCCAATATGTTCTCTAAGAAGAAGAAAAAAAATCCACCTCAGGCACCAGGTGTTTTCTGTCATTTTCAGCTCCAAGCCCATCTTCCCAAGCTCTAGTCTGACTCGTTGGAGCAGTAACTCTGCAAATTACGTTTCTCAGACTCCCTTCTCCCTGCCTTCCTTTTAGGCTCTGCCAATGAAAGCTGCTAGAGGGGATTAGATGGCAGTAGCTCTAGACCCCATGGTCTTCTGCATGAAAGGAAATTTTGTACATGAAGCCCCTGAGACTTAGGGATTATTTATTACTATAGCATAAGCCTATCTTATCTTAACAAGGTACACAACAAAAAGTGGCAGATGAAGACTCACCAATTAAGACTCCACATTTCCACTCCAAGGTAAATCCTAAAGAAATGTGTTTAGGTACAGCAGAAATCATGTATAAAAATGCTTACCTAACATTAATCATAACATACAAAGGCTGAAACCAATTCAAATGCTCATCAACAATGTATTCATCGCATTATGTTATACTCCTACAATACATCAACAAAACTAAATGAATCATAAAAATTAAACTACACAACAATATGGTCTTTTTCGGGGGGGGGGCAGTATGTATGAGGGATTGAACTGAGGACCTTCACACTGATCTACATTCCCAGGCCTTTTCGGGGGGTGAGGGGGGGGTGTCAGGGATCAAACTCTGGACCTTGTGCTTACAAGGCAGGCGGCGAAACCACTGAGCTAAATCCCCAGCCCCTCCCAGCCCTTTTTCATTTTTCAAATTTGAGATAGCTTTACTAATTTGCTAAACTGCCCAACTTCCAATCCTCTTGTCTCAGCCTCCTAGAGTGCTAGGATTACAGGCATGCATAACCATGTCTAGGTAGAAAGTTTTAATCTAATTTTCTAATTTTAGTCTCCATAGCCTGCCAATAAAAAGGATACAAGGGAAAAATAATTACATTCACAAATATACATTCTGCCAAAAAGTGATAATACAAACAAGGTGGGAATGGGAAGCAAAGGATATTTTTCTCTGGTAAGAGAGCGCTTATAAAAGTCTAGTCACAGCTGGGCATAGTCGCAAATGTCTGTAATCCCAGCATTCTGGGAGGCTGAGGCAGAAGGACTACAAGTTCAAGGCCAGCCTGGGCAATTTAGCAACTTAGCAAGACACTGTCTCAAAAAAGAAAGGAAGGAAGGAAGGAAGGAAGGAAGGAAGGAAGGAAGGAAAGAGAAAGGAAGGAAGGAAGGTAGGAAAAGGAAGAAAGAAAGAAAGAAAGAAAGAAAGAGAAAGGAAGGAAGGAAGGTAGGAAAAGGACCAGGATACAGCTCAGTGGGAAGGCTGAGTCAGTCCTCATATCTCACACACACACACACACACACACACACACACACACGTAAGCAACCATTTATTTCTCTAGTATTTAGTGATGTTCATGTAATCATAAAAATATCATGCACACACAAAAAAACTATGACACATTTTTCTACTGCCTATACCACTAAAAAACTATTTTATTTTACATTTATTGGCCACATATAAAGTTTATAATATAGTTCATGTGTATAAGTAATAAAACTTGCTTTATTTTTATATTTTAACTTATTAAATTATTTTATGAAGAAAGACAAGTTTCATAATTAATTAAGAAAACACAATGTTCGCTAATACTGATGAACACCTGTCTTCACAGGCACACGTATGTGCAGAACAAAACACTGTTACCAGAACCACAGTTTACCTGCCCAGCTGAACAAACACACACGTGACAGAAGGTGGTTTTGACCTGAATGTACGTGGTGGGCACAAGAACCAAGAGTCGGCACTGCACTGTGCCCTGCCCTACACAGCACGACACGGTGGCCTACACAGTCCACACTGGAGTACCACACAAGTGAGTCTGGAGGGGTACAGCTCAAAGTCACATCGTAAGTTTCAAAGTGTCATTGTCAGGGCTGCACAGAGGCCATGCATGGGCCATGAACAACTCTGTGTGTAGATCCCAAATTTTAAGAATTTCCTAATAACAGCAGCATCACAATCATGAACATTCACGCACTCTACATTATCTGGGAGACAAGACATCATTTACCCCTGATCTTCAGGACACTGTAGCTTGGAGAGATGCAAGTGTCAAAACCAGGTCTCGAATCCAAGGCCATGGTTTCACCACTAACATATTCTCAGGCACACAAACTGCTGAGTGGGGCAAAAGCTGTCAGGTCTTTAAAAAATACTACAAATAAGGCTCTTTAAGGCTTCTGGCAAGGACATTTTATTTTCTGGTTAAAGCCACAATTTATAGAAATGCCATAAAAACAAACATGTAAACAAAGTATCAGAACGTTGGTTCACTGAAACATCTCTCACCTACAACATCTGAGGTACAGAGGCACCCTCCAAGGTGCCGGACAGCCTGGCTCTGCTGCAGCTGCTCCAACACTACCCTTGGAGCCAGGGGGGGATCAGGCTGAAGAAGAGGCTGGGAGCAGGTCCTACAGGTCCAGTCCAGTGTACTCTCTCCCACTTCAGACAAACACTGACTCTCCCAAATCCCTGCCTGACAGGAGCTGGGACATGGAAAGGTGTCTGTTGTGCTGAACTTGAAGATGACTCCAGCTGTGGGGCCAGGAAGGGCAAGGGCAAGAAAGGACATCAGTCAACTTCCGTTGATCCACAAGGCCTCAAGAACTCCTGTCCTCGTTCATGGAACCACTTATTGGAGACTGTGAAAAGAAAGCAAGTACATTACAATCTGCAGCAAAAATTAACAACTCTGCCATGATGACACCTGCTCTGTGCTTTGAGAAACAGACTTGAAGAAGACATGGTCTCGGCCTCAAAACTGCTCATGAACTACTGAGAAAGACACATGAAAGAACGGGTTAAAGGTCCAAAATTCCATGAGGAACACGACACACATATGAAGGTTGCCATGGGAACAGAACCCAAGGGCACCTAATCATGTTAGGGAGGAGGTGGCCTCAGGTCTAAAATATGAAGCTGAACACGTTATCCTGGGAAGAGGAAGCACACACAAAAACATATGAAGATGGTGCCACACCAAGGGGGGTCGCAGAAAGTAAGTACAGGATGAGAAAGTCCTCAAGGCAGGAACCACTCTGACAAATGTCCAGGCTCTCAAGAAGCCTGATATAACTGGAATATGGCAGGTGAAAACGGAGAGGCAGGGGTGGAAGGAGCTGTCTGCACTGCGGAGGGTCTGGCCTTATACCCCAGGCTCTGCGGGCCAAGATACAACTTCTATACAAAAGCAGAGCTGGGGCTAGAGCGCTCACTTAAAGCTGAGTCTCAAACACACTGGAACAGGACACTCACTCTTCCTAAACACAGATCTCTCCTAATGAATACAAACATTTCAATGTATTTCTGAAGTCACACAGACTAAAGTACAGCTGAACTTAAAGTAACACATGTATTTAACATTGAATAAAATGCCTATAAGGCTTATAACAGCAATGTAGAGATAAATAATAAATTTTAAATAACATTAATATGGAGTGCTTACATGGTTATTGTAACATTAATGCTACACTAAGCCATCTAGATTATACTCATTTTCTTTTTGTACAACTGCGCCCCCGTCCGCAACTTCCTCATCTTCTTTTTCATCAGTTTTCTGTAAATCCACCACTATTCACCCTCCAAACTCCAAAGGGTTATAAACTGGTGTGATTACTTCCTTTTACATCCTAGTTCCAGCCTCCTGTGGCTCAGCATAGCCACATAAAAGACAAGGTTCAAGCTTCAGCCTCTGGCGCCTGGTCTCATCCTCTAGCATCATCTCTTGGTCCCTTCTTCAAGTGACAAGGACGCCCAGCACCACACCTATGAGAGACTGTGCATCGTTCCACAGAGGTCTTACTTGCCTGGGACAGCCCTACCCCTCTCTGCTTGCAGCTCTGCCCTCTGCTCCTCAGAACCCTTGCCAGACCCTCCTCTGCAGAGCCCTGAGACATAGGCTGCTGTGTGGCTCAGGGTTCCTGCAGCTCCCTGGGCATCTCTGAGCGTTCCTAGGCAGCTGTCTCAGCACTGAAGCCGCTGAATAGATATGGCTGGATGGTCCAGCACTTCACAGAAAGAACTTTCAGAAAGGAGGCAGTCATACCTATGTGCAAACTTGGCAGCAGCTGCCTGCCAGCTCCAAGTCTAAAGCCAACCATCGAAGTTCAGGCTGAGACCCCCACGGCCAACACCACCGCCCAAGCCACTCACCCCACTTGCAGCCCACAAGCACGGGGCAGGCCGCGTGTCTTGTCCGGTAGTCCCCTTCTCCGCTCCGCAAAAGGTTGTACCAAAATACAGCTGTGCCCTAGGAGAAGGCAGCCCGTCAAGACATCCTTAGGGACCAGGCTCAGAGACCTGACCACAGGCACCAAGGAACCCCTGTCCTCAGCACAAAAACCCTCACTTTCCTGTGTATAAGAAACAGGGCTCTGGGACTCTTCTGATAGAGAAGCTTCCTGGAAAGTACTTCCCTTCATGGTGACATGGAGGTTTAGAAATTCACCCACCCCTGAAGGGACTTCCTCCCGTCCCTCCTGCCCAGGTAGAAGCTGGACCACAAGTCCGCAGTGTGTGTAGGAAGGGGCTATAGGCGCATCAAAGCGATAGTCAAGTCAGCCAGAAAATGGGACTGAGGTTCACAGACAAGAGCCCTGCCTACATCTGGCTACCAGACCTAGAACTTACCTTCTTAGGCCAAAGTGCAGCTCCCAGATCAGGGAAGACGGTGGCTCCACCAGCTTCTACATCACTCATCTGGGAATACACAAGGCACAGAGCTTGGCCCCTCTCCCCAAGGATCTCGGAGCAACTGAGCTCTGAAGGCTGCGACAAGGGCACTGGCCTCTGCGCATGTGCGGCTCTGCCCCGTGGCCAGGAAAGGCCCGAACTCCTCGCCCGACTCAGTCTGTGAGGCCCATCAGGAGTCTCCACGCTGTGGGCTCTCAGAGCTGAGGCCCGCAGGAGGCACACATGGGCTCTCCTGGAATGGAACGGCCTGAGCCTGCACTCAGAAAACCCAAATCCTGGCCCCACCCGTGATCCCTATCCAGCCTGGACCTTGCCTAGACCCCTGTGCCCGCCAAGCTGTCTGACCAGGAGCTCCCTGCTGCTTCTAATAGCAGCTGTCCCTGCCATGGGAGCAGTTTTTCTGGCTGTAGAAGCTCACTGCTCTAGTCAAACCCCCCTCTCCCAGAACAGCCACCCTCAGGGTGAGCAGCGGTCTTAGGGCCCCCGCTCTCGCCCACAATGAAGCTTCAACCCATGCTGTCCACCGGCTCCACACAGAGGGCCACACTGGCCCACATGGTGCGCCTCAACCCCCTCCTCATTTCGCTCACTTCAAGCTGTTGCTTATAGTGTCAGGAACACTGGAGCTAAAACTTGTTCCCACAGGACACACACCAGACTGACGGAAGGGCACCCGACAGACACATGGTAAATGAAAAAGACAAAAAGCCCCAGGGACCTCACACAGCCCTGGGGATCAGATGTGGGGAAACCCCCAGGCTCTCACTAGCTTCTCCTTCAGACACACTGGCTTTCTCTCTTTGCAACTCTTCAAGCTCTTTTTCCAGATCTACGTACACTCTCTTTTCTGCCACAAACATGCTAACTTACACCCAGCCTTCCAGGGAGGCCTTCGAACTCCAAGCCAGAGCTGGTTCTCCACAGCATTGTCTCAATGGTACCTAAACATCAATCTGTCCTCTGTTTAAAGCCTCCCATGTGAGACCTCAAGTTGCCACAAGAGGAAATGTGCACATTCCCGTCACCACATAATGAAAATTTAAAAGGCAAAAACCAACTTCTGGTTCTAGTCCTCAGAGGTGTCTCTGCAGAGCAGACTCTCTTAGAAGGGAAAGGAAACTGTTCCTCACGCAAAAAGAAAAGGCAATAGCCTTTGGAGGAAGGTGTAGAGGCGGCACCAGCCTCTGGGGAAACCACGGCTGCCTTGACCTAAGGGCACCTTGTGGCTGCGTCTTCGTGCTGCCACCAAGAGGTCACCCTCCAGAGCATCCACCCCAAGAGCCAAGGTAGCGCTGGGCCCGTCAAGAAGGTGGCATAACATGGTACAGCACGGGTGAACTTTGAAGAGGTTACAGTAAGGGAAACAAGCCAGTCACAAAAGAAATACTCTCTGACTCCACGTGCATGAGGTCAGGTGGCGTGAGACAGACACCAAAATCACAGAGAAAGGCGGCTGGGAGAGGGCGGCCTGCAATCACTGTTTAACAGGAATAGGGTTTCAGTTTTACGCGATGAGTACAGTTATGGTGATGGAGGGCAGAGACGGTTATGTAAACGTTATGGATATAGTTAACGCTCTTGAAGTACACTTTAAAAGGATTAAGGTGGTCAATTGTATGTTGTGTGTATTTTACAACACATTTTTAAAAGCTGAGAACAAAAGCAGCCAGGAACAGCCTTGGCGGGGAGTGTGGAGGGAAGGCTACCCAGACGGGAATAAGCGCCAGCTTGCTGAGCTCCGCTGGGAGAGGCTGAGGGACAGAGGAACCAGCACGCAGCAGCGGTGGGCATAAGCCCGCCGGGGTGGCATACGCGAGGCCTCTGGATCACGGTCCCCACAGAGCCCGTGAGCTGCACACATCATACTCACGTAGTTTAAGAATGTGGCCACACGGTTCCCAGTCCCTAAACGCTTGAAAGCATCTCGCTCATGGTTCTATAAAATTAAGTGAGAGTGAAACAAGTGGGCCTGAACCCAGTACTTACATAATTAAGAAACGTGGCTAACCTATTCCCCTCCGTTTTGAGGCCGCTGTCAAAAGGTCGCTGCAACAGACAACAACTTTCACCCAAGTTTCCAACTACCTTGCTCACCACCCAAAGGTCTGGGGCCTAACAGGTCAGGGGAAGCGAGGAAGCATGCACTCCATAAAACAGCCTACGACATGGACCAAGGCAACGCGGGAGACCGCCTAGGGCATGGGGCAGCGGGGGCGTCCAGGAAAAATTTTCACAGACCTAGTGAGGTCCTTCGCCTTAGAATCTGGGCAAAGAATACCCATGTTAGGTGGGGGAAACACTCCCACATCTACAGGGAAACAGCCAGGTTCCTGGGCTCCCCAGGCCCTGTGGTTCCAGATTTGGGCTTTACCAGGGCCAGCCTCCCCTGGAGAGGCAGGAGGTTGGGGTGGAGGGATGTGGAGCCCGAAGTGCTCTGTCAGTCAGTGAGGGCCTTGGACTGCACCTGGGATTTGGACCTTACCCTGGAGAAGTCGAAGTGCGGCTCATACTGTCCTCCCATTCCGTAATTTGCAACCTGGTGAGAAACAACAGCATGGATCTTGTCAGCAGCACGAACAGCCCCCAGCAACTCACCTTCCCAAGGATACCATCTCCCTCGGCCTAAAGACAAGCAGAGCCCAGAGCAGCCTCTCTAAGGTGAAGGATAGCTACATCCTGCCAGCACAGGCAGCACGGGGGTAGCAAGCATCTGTACAGGGAGGAGGGCTACTGCAGCACAAGTGGTTTCCAAGAACAAGATGAGCGACCACCCTCACACAGCAGCAGAAGAAGCAGCTTACCTCCTCTTCTGTCTCGCTTTCTCTCTCCCTCTCTCGGTAGTTTTGAGACAGAGTCTCACTACGTAGCACAGCCTGGCCTAGAACTCAACAATCCTGCCTCAGCCTCCTAAGGGCTGGGACTGCAGGCATGCGCCACCATACCCAGGTAACAGAGTCCCTCCGGAGGCAAGCCCCAGCCTAGGCTCTGTTTGGGAGACAGTGAGAAGGTGGTCTGAGAAAATGTCACAATAACCTCAAGAGTTCGGTGTTTTGGTGTCTTTTGTTTCTTGAGACAGGGTCTTGCTCTGTTGCCCAGGTTGGACTTGAACTCATAAGCTCAAGAGATGGCCTAGCCTCAACCTACCAAATAACAGAACTATAAGCACATACCACCACACCAGGCTTGAGGCTATTCTTTCTAAATACTACTTTTGCACCTACTCCCTGTCTGGCACTGCCCCTGCCACTATCTCCCAGCATCTCTTTATAATCAGCCTGAAGGGAGCAAGCACATCTCACCCTCCCCTCCTGCAGGGCCCACTGCACGGAGTACTTCTGCATCCAAGCCAAGCTGCAGGACAAGGGTGGCCAAGAACCGCTGCACCACCAGAGTGAGCCTGGACCTGCAGAGAGACCTGAGCCATGGCAGCCTTGGCCACTATTGGTGTCATTAACAGGGTTGGGAGTTGTAAATGCCTTTGAGATGCTTACAGCCCAGGGCACATTCTAAATCACAGTGCGCGGCTACTTGGCTATAGCAGGTACAACGAGACAAGGTTAGAGGCCGATGGATCAACTCAGGCCCATAAATGTGTACCAGGAAGAGCTGCGGCATCTCGCCAGGACCCTAAAAACCACTGGGGCTCAGCTATTAGTTCTCAGAAAGTATTTTCTGGTATTTTTCTGTTTGTCCTTTTTGGCAATCCCAATAGTTAAGTAAGAGATGCTAAAAATTGGCAGTAATGGACACCTTTACCTGTGGGGGAAAACGGTGGGTGGTAAATCTACAAGAGAGGAAATCTTGTTGCAGCACAGACACTATTTGCCAAATACAAGGAAATGCACAGTTAGACATTACTATCTTCGGCATCTATAAAAATGACAATTTTGATGTGAAGAATCAGTGGACGAAAATATACTCTGTCATCTGTCTCGCATCAGCCTTTGAGTTCCTGCTCGGAAGCACCTGAGTTCCTGTCCACAGGAGAAGTGGGCGGAGCAGCAGGAGGACGTGAGGCTGGGGGAGTTTAAGAAGGGAAACCTCGATGGGGCAGATCGCAAAATCCTGCTAGAAATGCTCTCACAAAGACATCCACTGCAGTCCGGGACTGGAAGGAAACGTGAGGCAGGCCTGTGACTGTACACCATGGCACCTAAGAAAGTTCAACAGCTGCTCGTTGCTAGGGCTTCAAAGCACAGCCACTTTCTAACACTTCCTCCACTCACTGGACAGAGTGCTTAACCCTTCAGGTCCCAGGTAGCGAAAGAAATTGTGATGCGACAGCTGGCTCACCTTTTTATTGCACTGCTGCTGTCACTGCACCGACTCCCCAAATAAGTGCATGGGAACTTCACCACCCCGGCACACCCAAACCCCAGACCTGGACCTTTAGCACAAGCAACTGTAGGTCAAAACTGATTCCCGTGAGGAGGTATTCATGTCAATCTTTACACTTTTGTTGCTACAGGATAGAGTCAGTCAAGCGAAAGACATGGGTATTCATGATGCTGAGGTTGAGTGAAGGCAGAAATATAAAAGGGCTAGAAATCACTTTCCTGGTGAGACCGAGACATCTTTGAGCCAGAAGTCTTGAATCTTAAGAGAATTATGGAATGCACAGCATCTCCTCTATGAGACAAGCCCTCAGCCAATTCCCAAAAAGCCTCAATTGCCTGTCTTCACCGAGGTGCACAGCTGACACCAATTAGAGCTGAAACAGCGCGGACAGCAGCAGAGCCGCAGCTCCTTTGCAGAAGCCTGCAGATTCCCAAGGGACCCTGATGCTGGCTGGGGCTGGTGCCTCGCGCATGTGCCACACTGCAAGTAGCACCCAGGGAGTGAGCATTCATGGACAGGTACTGAGCCCAGATCAAAGCTTTCACAATACTGCTGGCTGGCAAAGGAAATGCCAAGGCAGCTCCTACAGGAAAAATGAAAACAAAATGGTGTCTCAGCCACCTGGCAGATATGCACAAGATCTTCTCAAAGAGCCATGACTGTAAGAGCCCCTCCATCGAGAAGGTACACACTTAGACCTCGGTCCGCAGAGAGGCCTGACGGGGAAGCCAAGACTGTAACAGAGAAGCCAGTGCATGGTCAGAAGCTGCTGTCTTCTGAGGCTAAGGGTGAGACAGGGTAACAGGCAGTTGAGAAATTAGCCAGGAAAGCAGAGGGGTGGGTCACGTCCATTCATTCCCACGGTCAGGGGGAGCCAATAGCTGTCCCTGATCAGGCCCATGAGACTCCGCAACACTAGCTTTGACATGAAAGTAGCAGTGGCTGATATAACAACCAAAATTAACTTTTAAAATGTTAAAAAGGGCTGGGGATTTAGCTCAGTGGTGCTGCCGCCTGCCTCGCAAGCACAAGGTGCTGAATTCGAACCCCGGTACCAAAAAACATGTTTTAAAAATATTGCTCCAAGAAGACGATTCAAGGTAATCCCACGGAGATGACAAGGCAAGCAGGAGGTATAGCAGAGGTCCTCTACTGATGTACTTGTCTGTAGGATTTATTCAGAAATTAGAAAACACTAAGCAAAGCTGAACTGAAGTATTTCAAATGTTCGTAACACTGCTTTCAAGGTAATCAGCATGTTTTTGAAAACTCTGGTGGACTTTGTACAAATCCATAATGATACCCTTCAAAATTGGCTTTCTGACTGCTGATGCAGCTACCTAAAGAAAAAGAATGAGCACTGATTTGCTTGGATATGCCCAGACCAAAGGTCAGAAAATCTTTTCCAAGTTATCCCTAGTCACTATCCTAAGGAGTCTACTTCGGCTGTGTTCAAACCCAAGTGCCAAGTCTAAAGGTAACAGCTGCTATCTTAACAAAAACTCTGACCCAGGAGATCCAGAGCACTCTAGACAGACAACAGTGAGACTCCTCCGCTGTGTCTCAGGGCACTGATGTTACAGAAGAACCCAGAAGTCCTGCTGCTTGGGAGGACGCACAGCCAGCACCGGGACACACTGAAGGAGCTCTGCCCAAAACCTACTCTCGTCCAGCACTGCCATGTTTCTTCACAATCACCTTTAAAAAAGAGCAGGAAGCCAAGGCCCAGCGGAGGTGTACATGGACAAGAGCATTCCACCTTCCCCAGGCAGCTAGTCCGGGCCTCTTACTCTCTGAGCAACGGAACACTTTAGTGTATTCTCAAGTGCATTTGACCATGACACAGAACCATAACCCTGAAGGTATTTTTAGCCTTCGTAGAGATGTCCCTGGAACAGAAAGATATGAATGAGCCTGCTGTGCTGCCACTGGCTGCAGCGCCTGGCATACCTGGGCACACAAGAGATGTTTAATTAACCTACAGAGAACTGAACTACTGAAGGTGACACACATAACTGACGTTGGTTCCCAAGATGGGAAGCTGTGCAGCTGTACAGTTTATTAGCTAGCCTGCCTACCTCAGGAGTCACCTAGACAGGTACCCGCCATGGGCCCAGGGACGCCGTACCTGCAACATTTCTGCGGTCTTTACTGTTAGCCCTGTGATGTACTGCATCCGGCGATTGACTCGGGCCACAACAGGGTCATCGTCTTCCTCCAGCCAGGAGCTGGGCACAGGAGAGCAAAGACAATGGGGAAGGCGGCCTTAGATGAGGTCCCACGGTGTCTCACCAATGTCAAGGCCAGGACTGGGCACAGGTGAGCGCCGCAAGACGACGCGGGGACCCAGCAGGCAGGATAAGCCAGGACATCCCCCTTCAGGAGGCACAGGGAAGGAACTCCGGAGCTGGGACTGGAGCAGCCATCACACCAGCACCACCTCCGCTTACCTTTTGGAAACCCTATAGCTGGCGACAGTGAGGACTCCTGTCTTGGGATCGCGCACAGTGGCTCGTGCAAGCTGGAAATGAGGAAGAAAACGCAGGCTTATCCTTTTCAGCCTCATGTGTTTTCCCATATAGCACCAGGACCAGATCTGCCGGCCACATTAGTGGGGGAAGCAGCTTTGTACAAGGTAGCTCGAGCCAAGGCCCTATCATCCTTTTTTTTTAAATATAATAAGACAAAATTTCATAACAAAATAATAAGGTAGTAACACATAGACATAAGATTCTCTCACACACACAAAAAAAAACACAGATAATAGCCCAAAACTTCCTTTTCAGCCGGTTAAGAAATGAGTAGTACAGATGAAACAAACTCAGATTACAGCAGCGGTCTGAGGCAGGCACTCTCCCTCTCTGGCCACTTACCCCAGTCACTCAGGACTCATCTGTCCTCCTCCCTAGGTCTGAGCTGTCCACACAGTTGTGCCAGTCTCTTCTCTAACCATGCACGCATCTTCCTGAACAGCTCCCTTCCTTGCAGTCCCACACACCAGTGAGCTCAGCTGTTCCCACCATATTCATATTCACCATCCCTGGGCCTCAACTTGTGTGCTTCTCTTGACTCAGTCAAGCTCCACCACCCTTCTGAGCCACTGTGGCCTCCTCCGAGCCATCCGCACCTTACACTGGGTTCCCACTGCTGCAAGGAGGAAGGCAGCCCTGCTTTCTCCTACCTGGGAGCCTCACACAGTCAGATGACAAAACCAAAGGATCTGACAAGTGAACCACCACCTAGAGGCCATGCACCCACATCCATACACACTCTTACACATGTACACACACGCTTTTCCATCTGTCTTATCTCCCCAGCCTCCTAAAGCAGCTTGATGATACTGCCAGAAGGAACCTACAGCCTAAAGCTAGCCCTGAGGGACTGTCCTAGTGGTCTCACCTGGGTGAGACCAGAGGCCCAGATACCCTCAACAGCACTTCCCCTCGACTTCAGTCCATATTTGGGAAGTGCCTACTGTGTACCTAGCGCTATGCTGGGGGACGGAGACACGGCTGTTGTCCCCATGTAACTCAGTCAAGAAGGGAAGACAGAAAACCAGCCAGGCAATTGTAGCACAGCATCAGTGAGCTCCACGTTCTGGAGAAACTCAGCCAAATGCTCAAGAATGTTTTCCTGGAGGAGGGGACACCTAGCTGAGATCTCAAAGGTAGAGAGGAGTTAGCACGCAGGGAAACACGGCAGGAACAGGGAGGGAGCAGGGATGCAGAGCCTGGCACTGCCTGCAGGTCACCTGTGGGTCAGAGGTTACGCAGAGCAGTGGAGAGAACGGCCCCAAGGCACAAGCAGCACCAGTACAGCCTCATGGAAAACGGAAACAGGGAAGACTTTACTGGGGGGAGGGACAGTCACAATTAAATGTAAGAAGGACCAGGCGTTGACTACGGAGGGGCTGGAGAGGGAAGAAACTAGACAGGAGGCCACGGCAGCAGCCAGGGAAGGAGAAGACAGTCCTCGGGCCAGGGGCGGACTGACGAGTGAAGAGGAATGACAGATTAGAAGTCTCCCAAGGGGTGAGACCGGCCAGCCGGGACGACGCACTGCTACACATTCCAACAAGAGGGCCGGCAGCCAGGACAGGCTTTACCTGTGGGCCCTTCCTGAGCTCGGCTGAATACAAGTCCTCCCCAATGCCAACTCCTGCCACAAAAGACCCCAGCTACACGCTGAGCCTCGGCACTGGCCTGGCACCCACAGAAAAGACTCCAGGCAGCTGCCCTTGGGGACAGTCAGAGCTATTTTGAAAGAGGCCTAGGGACCCACAGGCAACTGCCAGACATTCCCCACAGGCCAAGTTAAGCTCATTGGCCCCACTTCAAAGCCAGAATAGCATCTGTCCCTCATGGCCTCCGGAAAGAGGAGGTCAGCTTATGATAGTCAGCATGTTTGGCTCTTCACGGGGCTTCTGTTCTAAGAGAAGTTTTCCCAACTCTCACCCCAGTCACACCATACACACACACACACACACACACACACACACACACACACAAGGTTCTCAGTGCCTAGGAATGAGTGACAACAGGTAAGGAATACTTCGGGAGATTTTGGTATGACAGTGCCTCCCTAACCTAGAAACCAGAAAAGCTGTTTTCTTCCCTGGAGAACTTTGGAGCCAATCCTGAAAGTAGAAAGAGGGGTCCCTGTCAGCATTCTCCACACTACTGAGCTACATCAATAATGCCAACAATCAACCCTAAGGGACCCAAGCCAAGGCAGAACAGGAACTATTTCAGGTCTCTCCAGGAGTGCTAAGGCACCTGATCTCTACAGTGCCGTTAGGGGCAGAGCCATAAAGTATCCAGCCAGGCTGGCCATGGAGGTACACGCCTGTAATGCCAGCACTCTGGAAGACTGAGGCAGGAGGACTGCAAATCTCAGCCCTGCCTGGACAACTCAGACTCTGGCTCAAATAAAAAACAGTAATTAAAGGGTAGGGATGAAGAGATAGCAAATGGCAGCAAATCTTTCATGAACTAGAAAAAGAATAATACTTGTATAACATGACATATATATAACACAAACAGCCAAGTGCACGCTTACCAGCAAAATACCAGAAGAATTTCTAGGAAACTCAGAAGTAAGACAAAGATGCTTATTGTGATAATGCTCTAGAGGTTTTGGGCAGTTCAGTAAGATAACAAACACAAAGAAACTATGAGGAAGGAGAAAACAAAATTTTCCTTATTTATAGGTGATAACACTATCTGAGGAACCCAAGAAAATCAGCATGAAACCACAGAAGGACAGAGTAAGTTCATGCTCTCCTGTGACCCAGCCTGCCTCATAAATGTGATAGTTAACGCACGTTAGCACTGAAGACAGGCCGGCCACACTTAAGAACTTGGTAAAAATCAGCTATTGCCAATATATTTTAATATATTTTAGCAGAAGATAGTAAGCTAATATAATAATATAACCGGTTTCAACATGAAAAAAAAAAAAAAGAGTAAAGTTACAGTAACAAAAATAAACTACCTAGAAATAGACTTAACAAAAAATGTGCAAAGCCTAGTTGAAAAAAAAAAAAGAAAAGAAATGAATAAACCAAGAGGCCCAGGGAGAGGCCTGGAGAGCCCCAGGGTAAGAAGGCCTGTGGGCCTCCTCTGGGCCGCTCACGTCACCTGCGGTCCTGAGGACATAGCCACTGGACCCAGCTGCACAGCGTAAGGAGCTGAAGTTTCCCAACGCACTTCCTACACCAGCCCCGGCCAGGGGGCGGACGCCCACAGCATGCGGCCTGTCCTGCTCCCTCACAAGCATTTGCCACGCCTGGCTGTCCACATTGCTTCCCGAGTCTTTCCGCCCCACTGGACCATGACCGGGACCAGCGATCGGGACTGACAGTGCCGGAGATGGCAGCGGACCCGGCCCTGCGGTGCCCAGGGAGGACCCGGAGATGCCCACCTTGGGCTTCGCGAGCTCCTTGACCCGCTCGATCTCCTCGTCGGACATGACGTCGTAGTACCTGACGATGTGCGGGCTGTCCCACTCGTCCTCTTCTTTGAAGGGGGCGATAAGCAGCTCCGGGGCCCTGTTGCCATGGTGGTACCTACAGAAAAGCCTCTTCTGCCTCCGGGGTGTCTGGGAAGCAAAGGGCGGCACTCCGTGAGCTTAGTGCGTCCTAGCCCTCACTCCCAGTCATCAGGCACAGGGCTTGCTGATGGCCAGCAGCTGCTCCCTCCCACACCGCTGCGGGAGGACACACAACTACCAGGAAGGTCCCACCCCCACAATCACACCACGTTTCTTCTCCCTCAAGGTCACCTAAGGCTCCGAGGCACAGGGCTTTCCAGACCCTTTCACAGAGACAGCGAGCCTGAGGGGAACAAGGAGAAGCCTTTCGGGGCTCCCGGCCAGGCCTCTGAGGAAGCACTGGGACCTTAGGCTCTCAAAGCCGGCAACACCCACACCAAGTCCAGAAGAGCTGCATCTTTACTACACAGGCTTTCTCCGCATGTAGGACTGAAATTCTGTCTGGGCACTGGGGAAGCCAGTCTCCCATCCTAACCTCAGAGCACACCCACTCACCAGCCTTGGCAAAGGTCTGTCACTAACTCCCAGTGTCAGCTCCAAGCACTGGAGGACAGGCTAAGAGAGGCACCTACAGACACAGGGACGCACACCCCGACCTGTCTGCCACCACCCGGGCGCCCCGCTGCCCCTGCTCTCACCAGTTTGACGCCCTCCCCGCGGCAAAGGCTCTCGTACACCTCCCGCTCGGGCAGGTAATCTAACGGCCTGTCATACACGCCTTCTTGGGCTGCAAGCGAAGCTTCTGTCTGATTTGACAACGGATTTCTTCTTTCTTCCTCCAACAACCGCTCAAAGTACCGCAGATTCCCTCCAGCTCGCTCATGGCTCGGGTCTAGCAAAAGCAAAGAACAAGAAAGAAAAGGCAATCGCAAACATCTGTGAGGTCATTTAGAGAAATTATTCTGTAATTGGTTACCCTCCCAGCAGCCCATTTGCAGGCTTCATCCTGCTGTCTACAGCACCAGCCAGGGTGTGTGGGCCAGAGCTGAAAAGCCAATAGAGGCTCTCCCTGCACCAGTCAGAGAGGAGAAGGAACATCGTCAAAGCAGAGGACAACTCGGCAGCCACCAAGGAGACATCCTTCTCCAGCATCCCTAGGGGGCCCCAAGGTCCCAGCTGCAGAGAAGCAGGCCTGAGTCCTGTGTCCTCCCCACACCTGGCTATGTGCCCCGCACAGCCATTCCCTGGAGTGCCGTTCCCCAGAAGGCTACTCTCTGGTCACAGCTGTAAGGCAAGCCGAAATACTGAATATTCACAGCTCTATCTGTGTCTGTTTCAGGGTCCTAAGAAGCAGGCATGGATTTCAGTGCCACTCCTTGGATAACTGACTTAAATTGATGTTACACAGACAAGAATTCAGGTATTCTGACTCCCTGTCTAAGGCTCTTACAAACTTACTTGATGGAATTTACAGAGGTCCTCACACTGGTCATATGCTAGCCGACATCAGACTCAGGACCCCACGGAAAGCAGCAGTATAAGAAAGTCTTTACTGCTGATGACAGTCCTGTGTTTTATAGGAGATTTTTTTACTGTTTCTGTTTACAACAGATAGATTGTTAAAGCATAGTGCTTTGGGCCTCCTTCAGTCCCACATCATAAGCAACAATGGCATGGCAGAGACTTCGGGCCACTAATGTAATAGCCGGGTCACTGTCGTCGCAGCCACCCCAAAGTGCGGCTCACATCCCAAGCTGCTCCCAACACAGTGAAGGTTCCGCCTGCACAGTCATGGATGCACAACTGCACCAAGTCCTCACTGAAAAAGGAGCGTGGAGGGTCATTGGTGGCACAGACCTGAGTAAACCTATCAGCGACTAGGCAAGAGCTCACACAGGGACTGGGGTGGCAAGGAGGTAGCTGGCAGTGGGTCTGGGTCTGAAGTCATGACAAGCCAGGTGAAAGTTCAGACTGACTCAGTCCCGGGAGCAGGATCAAGCAGTATAATTAGCAGAGCCCAGTTCCTCCGCCAGCTCCCCAAAGTCATCTTACCCTCCCCCTGATCTCCTTACCAAGGGAGACCAGGCGTCGGGTGAGTTCCAGGGCACGGTGCAGGTCACCCAACTGGAAGACAGCATAACTAAGGTAGTCCAGCACCTCAGACTTGGCTACAGTGGCCTCTTCTCCAGCATCAAGCTGCTTCAGCACCTGCTCCATCCACAGCACTGTATGATAATAGTCCCCTTCGTTGTAGGCTGAACGGCCCATCCCGAAGCAGTCGTCCACACTCAGCACTGCCTGGTACTTGGTTCCTGCAGCAGAAGCCAACAGTCAGGCTCCAAAGAGCTGGAGGAAAAGTCCGGCCCCTGCAAGGGGGATATTACTCAAGCAGAACCCCACCACGGCCTTAGACCACACACCCTGAAGGGCCACTGGCACCGTGAGCAGACAGGTTGGTCTGGCCCTGGGCCACACTTCACAGTCTCCTAGCTTTACATTCTACCTTTGCTCAAGTGGGAAAGTGGTCTTCACAGGGGAGCTGACGAAGTCTGAGAAGGAGCAGTACTGAAGACAGCAGAAAGGTGCTGGGGTTCAGGGGTATGTGGTTGGCAGCTGGCCACAAGTCTGGGGGGTAGAAAAATTAGCTGAACATGAGAAATGGAACTTAGAAGGCACCAAAAAAAGAGAATATTCACTTGTAGGGAAGGGGCTGAGCAAAAAGTAGACAGGTGGCAGGGGCTGGTGTCCCAGGGAATACCTACGCAGGAAAGACAGAACAAGTAACACCAGGAAGCAACCAGGAAGTAGAAGTAACAGAGGGGGCAGGCGTGGAATGACAGAGGCCAAGGCTGTTAGGTAATAGGAAGCTTGGTGAGCCTCAGCTCGGCAGGCCTTGGGACCATGGATCATTTGCTGTGGGCTGAGTAGTAGGGTATGACCATGAAGACAGCTTCAAGCCGAGAAGCAGCAGCAGGGACCAGGACAGGATCAAGATGGAAAGGACTGTGTATATGTGTATTCTTCAGAGACTGAGAGAGCAGATCCCATGGGGAGAAAGAAGCCTGTGACCCAGCCTGGAGAGAACAGGAGCCTCCCTCAAACTCCATTAACAGCCACCCGGACATGGCTGACGTGAAAGAAAGGCCTCAGAATGCGAGCTTTCTGCTGGAGAGCTAAGACAGGCCTTCATGCAGAATGAACCCTTTACTGCAGCAGGTTATCTGCTTCAGAGACCAAGGTCTGCTTACCCCAGTGGCTCAGAACCACCAAGGTGGGACGGGAAGCTTGGGAGACTAAACTCAAGATGGAGTTGTAGGTAGGCCAGGGACTAGCCAGGTCCTGGGTCCCCTTTCCCCTCTCCGTGGGCCTGCACAGATCTCCTCTGGCCCAGGGACCTACCCTGATGGAGGCTGCATAACACAGATGGGTGGGCTGAAGCTCTGCCGTGACACAAAGGCAGGTGTGAGCAGGTCTCACTGTGCAACCACCACCTGTGACTACGGACAGCTTACCCAGCCTGGGTCTCCGTCCCCTATGGAAACAGAGATAACGTCTGTCTAAATCTGTCAAAACAGAGACAATACTGTGAACTTTAGGCACTTGTGCCAAGAAAGATGTGTCCTATGACCTTCGGGATGCTAATAACCAGTAGCTACAGTCACCCTGTCTCACAGATGCCAAAAACGGTAAGAATGGCTCCTGGGCGCCAACTCCAATGTCTGCTCCCTTGAGAGTGACAGCCGAGCTGAGTGCTACAGGGCAAGCAGACGTGAAGTAGTCCGCACGACACGGGTCAATTACTCCTGCAGAGGGAGTGGGACGAAGACAGAGCTAAGTGACAGGGGAGCCGAGCACAACAGGAAAGGAGGTAGGGGACACAACGGACCCTACGGGCCATACACAAGAGGGGCTAAGCACCATGATCAGAACTCACAGGAACAGGTATGTGCGTAAGACCGCAGCAGGAGATCTTAGTGAGCTGCAGGCACGACACAAGTCAGAACGGTATATTAACGATCCAGCTGAGTACGAAACAGTCATGAGGCTGGAGCCGGAGGAAAGTACAGAAGACATCAGACAGGTAGAATCCACAGGTTTGAGGATGCTGGCATAGGCTGCCAGCGGGAGGAGTTGCTGAGAGTAAACAGTTCAAAAGGAGATGGGGACTCAATGCGGGACATGTGAGCTCGAGAAGCCCATGGAATACTCCGGCAGAGACATCCCACAGGCCCTGGCTCACACCGGCTGGAAGCTGGGGAGACACACCACGGGAAGAAACACTGGGGAAAGTGCTCACGGTGAACTCAAGTAGGGCTGAAGTCCTTCTGCTTTCTCATCCCCACTCAGGACACCAGTGGATCTCTTAACTGAATGAGACAGCTCAAGGACCTCCTCTCACCCACCAGTCTCATAGCTGGAGGAGAACAAACTCTGAAGGTACCCTGAGCTGCCTTCTCTCTGTGGCTGCATGGCATGGCTTGGTTCAAGACGCATGGAGGCAGGAAAGAAAAGTCCACACCTCTTCCTGTTAGCTCATCAGACTCTTTCACACCTAGGTCTCAAGCCGTGGCCAGCCAGCAGCAGAAAACCTGAACAGAAGGAAAGCTTCCTCATACCACGGATCACTCTGCTTCTTTGTTCTCCAGCAATTCCCACAGACTAGTCTATTCAACTTGGGTCCAATTGGTCTTGCATAGGCCCCCCCAAAAGCAATATGTCATCTTGCAAACATTAATATTTGTACAGTCAGTTAAAAAGGTGCTGCTTTAAAAAAGAAACAAAGAAAATGAGAAAGAATGAAGGACCAGAGGGGCCTGAGATCAGTCCCTTGGCTTTACCAGTCCAATGGTCACTGGTGACTTCACAGGGCTTGGATTGGTGGACAGCAGGGAGCAAGCATTGCAGGTTCAGGAGTCCAGAGGAACCAGGAAAGTGAGAGCAGAATGTACATCGTTCTAGCCCGCAGCCTAGCCAGAAGGGAAGCAAAGACCACCCAGCAGCAGAAACTCAAAAGAGCCTTGGACTTAGGAAGAAGTCTGAAAGATAACTAAGAGCAGAGTCTATGTATATGCTCAGGAAGAGAGACCAGAAGGTGGAGAGAGAATGAAAAGGGGTTCAGACCATAACTGGGGGAGGGACAGCAGCTGGGGAAAGAGTCCAGAGATCAGCTTCAGACAGAAAGAGACCAGAAGGTAGGGATGGAAATGGGTTGGCTGCAGACCTGTGGTGCTCTGAGGACAGAGGCCGGGGCTGCTGAACAGCAGCCTTGGCTTTCTCTGAGACATAGGATAGGGCCTTGGCTGTCATCTGGAGTGAGGCAGTGGCCAGGGACTAAGGGCAGGCAGTTGCCCTGGACCAGGATACTGGCACTGAACAGGGATGCAAGAAGGGTCAGCACCAGAGGGAACAGAGCAACTGAGAGACCATAAGTTGATCTCTGACTCACCCAGCCACCAAAGAGATGCAAACAGTACAGGCAAAGCTTACAGTGGCAAGTTACCTGGAAGCTCCCCTCTGGAAATCATGCCTGGGTCTAGTTTGTATGTGTCCTGAAGTCTCATCAGGGCTTTCGCAGCTCCCGACTCATCCTCATCAGTGGGAAAGAACTGCCGCTGCACGGAAAGGTTGGCAATGAAACCTGCCAAGAGAGAGTGAGAACAGGTGGTGACCTTTAGTCCGGGGCAGAATCCCATCTGGAACCAGAGAGGCAGCTACTAGACAATCTCCTGCTAGTAGAATCTTCCTGCCCCTTCCCGAAAAGAGTATTGGCTGACTGGGAGGGTACTCAGTGGTAGAGGACTTATCTAGCATGTACAAAGCCATGCGTATGAACCCTAGCACCAAA